TGATGCCCCAACTCAGGCAGTCATGCATTTAGCCTCTGGCTGATTGGGTAAGAGCCACCATTTCACACCTTAACCTCAGAAACATCCAGAAGAACAGAAGACCACGTGTGGGCATCCTGTGGCCTAGTCAAGTTGACACATAAAGCCAGCCACCACAAGCCCACAGGAGCTGAGTGGAAGCCAGCAGTGAGTTGCTTATGTTCACATGTGGGAATGAAGAACATTGTTCTATCAACACTAGAATTGTAGGCATCTTATTTTTGAGTGTTGTGAACTTTTTCTATAATTGAGATAAAAATATTTATAAATGAATGCTTCACAAATATACTACACCACTCACTCACCCAGGAAACATTTATAGGTAACTCTTCCAAGGGGTCCTCGGTGAGCTAGTGTGAGGGCAAAGGGCATTTCACCTAGCATCCTTCCTCTTCCCTAGCAATGGGGAAGGTAGATGGCATACTCCCAGTTCCTTGGTGACCTGGTTGGTCCCTGTTGTTGAGGGCTTTTGAGCATCATCTCTTTGCGGCACCCTCCCTATGTCAGGCTGCAGAGTGAGAAGTGCTGTCCAAGCCTGTGAGCGTATTTGAGCTGAGTTCTGGGGCTGGGGGGGAGAGTGATCATGGTAGCAGGCATACAAGGAGGGTTCTGGCATGAGAGATGGCTTGTTCAAAGGCCCACAGCAAGCCTGCAGAGTTGCAGGGAATGGGTAAGCAGCAATTACTGGTCAGGGCCTGGAAAAAGAAACCTGTGGTTGGACTCAGCATGCTTCCAGGGCAGTGTGGATCTCAGTGGCTTGAGGGTAATGATGGGATTGAAGGCCTGGCCAGGCCAGCCCATGAACAAAGGCTTTCTGTGTAATGACTTGCTCAGCATTCGTGTCTGAAGAGCAGAGTCAGCCGACTGCTGAGAACTCAGACTCCCACACCAAGGGACACATTACCATGAGAGATTTATGTTCTTGCCTATTTTAGTGTATATCATGTAAGTTTGTTTGTTTGATTGTTTTTTTTTGTTGTTGTTGTTTTTAGTTTGCATGCAGTAATAGTGACTCTTTTAAAGTTCTATTATTTTGAGAAGTGTAGAGTCAGTCATAGTACAGAGCTATCCTGTCACTCCCAGAATTCCCCTCTGCACTCTCCTTTTTGAGTACACTTTTCCACAACCAAGTTCTAGGTCACATCCCCATAATCATGCTTTTTTTAGGGAGCCATTTTGATGCACTCAGACACAAAGCTTTCTGATCTTGGCCTATTTTCTTGGAAGGCAGGCTGTGTGAATCCCCTAGCCTGTTGCTTTCAGTTTCCTTTTTGGTTGCGGTGGCAACCAACCAAAGTATGATGGGTATGAACAAAGTCTGTTCACTCCCCAGGTGGCATGCATCTGGGTGTTCCTACTGTGGGCTGGGTTATAGGTGAAACTGTGGAAGCCTTGAGGTTCACTCAGTCTCTCAGTGAGTGGTAAATACTAAGAACCCGGGATCTTGGTTCACTGATAGATGTGTGGGGGGGGGGAATTGCTAGGCTGACCTATGCTACTGCTTCGCTTTTAATCAACCTTTGTGTTCACAGCAGACAAAAGACTAGATAGGGTAAGGCGCAGTGGTGGGTGTGCTATTGGCTTGCTGAATGTCATTATGGTGTTTCTGTTTTTGTTTGGGACTGTAAGCATCAAGAGAATGGGGGTTGTTCTTCAGGGCCCCCGGGCCTGGCAGGTGATCTTAGCAGGTCTAAATAAGTACAGTGTAGACTGGAAAGCAGACGGCTTCATTGTACTGTGTACTGCTGCAATAAAAAGTGATAAAATTACTACTTCACAGTCTCTTTAAGTGAGTATGTTCACAACTTCTCCACGTGCAGGTCTCCTGTGAAAAATTTTCATGGAGCACTTAATTCTGCAGAACATGTGATGGGCATATTAGCTGCTCCTCATTGCTGTGCTAAAACACCATGACCAAAGGCAACCTGAGAAAGAAAGGGGTTAGTTCAGCCTCCAGTTGTCATGAAGGGAAGTCGGCAGGATGAGGTAGAAGCCGTGGAATAGTGCTGTTTACTGGCTTGTTACCCTGGCTTTCTCAGTTTGCTTTTTCCCAGGACAACCTGCCCAGGGGTAACACCCCTCACGGGAGTCCAGGCTCTTTCACATCAATCACTGAAGAAGGAAATGTCCCATGGACTTTCCTACAGGCCATTATGATGGAGGCACTTTACCACTTGAGGTTCCGTCTTCTCAGATGACCAGCTTGTGTTAAGTTGTTAAGAAACTAGCCAACTGACATGCAAACTTGACTATTAAACCATTACCTTTTCATTTCTCTTTCTCCCCATGATGTCATTTTACTATTAATATTGCCCTGTGAGACAACATGACTAAAAATCTTACAGTCTTTAAAAAAAAAAAAAAAAAAAAAAAAAAAAGGTCAGTATCTTAGGGTTTCTGTTGCTGTGGTGAAACACTGACAAAAGCAATTTGGGGACAAAAAGGGTTTATTTGGCTTACATTTCCACACATCATTCAAGGAAGTCCGGGCAGGAACTCCAACAGGTCAGAAGCCTGGAGGCAGGAACTGATGCAGAGGCCATGGAAGAGTGCCATTTGCTGGCTTGCTCAGCATGGCTTTCAAGGACCACCAGCCTAGGGATGGCCTGGCCTACAATGAGTCCCACCCTCAGTGATCACTAATTAAGAAAATGTCCTACAGCTGGATCTTTTGGAGGCCTTTTCTCAGGTGAGGTTCCCTCAGATAATTCTAGGGTGTCAAGTTGACATAACACTAGCCAGTACATTCAGTCTCTAAAATATCCAAGTCTCCTTAAAAATCCAAAGTCTCTAGACTGGCTAGTGTTATGTCAGCTTGACACAAGCTAGAGTCATCAGGAGTTAAGGAGCCTCAATTGAGAATGTGCCTCAAGACTGGGCTGTAGGCAAGCCTGTAGATCGTTTTCTTAATTGGTAATTGATGTGGGAGGGCCCAGCCCAGGTGGAGGAGGCCACCTCTGGGCTGGTAGTCCTTGGTTCTGTAAAAAAGCAGGCTGAGCAAGCCTGGGAAAATCAAGCCAGTAAGCAGCACCCCTCCATGGCCTCTGCATTAGCTCCTGCCTCCTGGTTCCTGCCCTGCTCAAGTTCCTGCCCTCACTGCTTTTGATGATTAACTGTTATATGGAAGTGTAAGCCAAATACGCCCTTTACACTCCAAATTGCTTTTAATCATGGTGTTTCATCACAGCAATAGTAACCCTAACTAAGACAGTCTCATAACTGTGGGTACCTGTAAAATCAAAATTAACTCAGATACTTTCTTACCATAAGAGGGAAGCATTAAGGCACAGTCGCAGATCAAAGGAAAACCAAACTCCAGCAGTGTAAATAGCTTAAAGTTCACCTGGGACTCACAATTTTCTGGGCTTCAAAGAGACTAAGCAGCTCTACTTCTCCGGCATACCCAGCACACCCGGCTTGTCTCACAGTCTCAGACTTTTCCCCTTCTACAGCTGCTGCTGTGCTTGGTGGTCATCTCATGATACTGGCATCTCAAAAGTGCCAAGGTCTCTGTTACAACTTCACCTTTCCCAATAGTCTCTCCTGAGCTCTTTTCAGGGACTTTGACCCTGCCACATGGTGCCAAGTCTCATCTTTACATGACCCCTTTAATCCTGGGGCTTTTTTGTGCAACTGAGGCTCTACCTTGGCCAATGGCCTCTCTGGCCTCTCAGGGTCAAGCCTCAGCTATTTTCCATTACATCCTTATGCCTTCAAAACCAGTAACACTTGGAAAACTCCTACAAATTACCAAGTTCAGCTGCAAACACAAGTATAGACTTGACCTTCTCTGGACCATAGCTTCAGTGTGCTGATCCTGAGGAACCTCTTCTCAGAAGACTTCACCTCAGTGGTGCTGGTCTCTTCTTTATCCCAGCTGATTCTTCAGCCTCAGCTGACCAGCATCTATTTTCCCTGCTAAGGGATAGTTTCACTTTGGTAATTTTGGAGTTAATCACAGCTGGCTGATTGATCAGCTCCAGCTGGCCACAGATTTTTAATACAAAATATCACACCAGCTGTTGGAGGAGAGTCTCTGCTTCCCTCTGAAACTCACAGGGCAGGCATCCAACATCTGCACTGCTCTCAGAGTTATCCTCCAGTTTCCCACAACAGTTTATTAAGCGCTGGGCACTCAGTGGTTTTTCCAGCCCAAAGTTCCAAACACCTCTACGATCTTTACGAAAGCAACATGGTCAAGTCTAACACCACAATACCCCACTCTTGGTACCATTTCTGTCCTAGTTAAGTCTATATCACTGTGATCAAAAACTATGAGCAACAGCAACTTGAGGAAGAAAGGGTTTATGTCGTCTTACACTTCCAGGTGGCATCACTGAGGGGAATCAGGGCTGGACTCAAGGCAGGAACCGACTCAAAGCCTGGGGAGGAGTACTGCTTTTTGGCTTCCTCATCATGGCTTTCTCAGCCTACTTCCCTATACTTCCCGGGACCACCTGTCCAGGGTGGTTCCATCCACAGCAGGCGGGGTTCTCTCACATCACTGATTATCAAGAAAAATCGGTACAGATTCACCACAACCCACTCTATTGGAGTCATTTTCTCAGTTGAGGCTCCCTCCTAGATAGCTCTGGCCTGTGTCAAGTTGACCAAAAACCAAACCAGGACAAAAAGTTTCTTCCTGCTATGGTATCCTCCAAGCTTATCTGTGTTTCTGTTTTCAGCACATTCAGGACAATCTAAGCATTTCATTACTGACTCAGAGCACTGGGAAGGGTGTTGAAATCTAGCTTCATCCAGTTCCTACCACCCTTAATTATGTTGAGTCATGGCACATACACAGGCAAGTGCGGACTACACACTGTGCCGTGGATCTTACTACTAGAAGACGCGCTTTCATCTGAAATCTGTTTTTACACCATGACAACGAATAATTTGGACTATGAATTTCAGTGCCCTGTCTGTTGGTGACATTGACCTGTTCCGTGGCTGTCTTGCAGGTGTGTGCTGCTCCCACTCCTGGGGATGAAGCCACCCCCACAGAGCCTCTACCTGTTGGTTGACTCCGTGGACGAAGGCTGCAATGTGGTGGAAGGGGAGCAGATGTCGCCCAGCCTCTCCGGGACCGTGGCAGAGCTCCTGGCTGGTCACCACGAGTTCTTTCCCCCGTGGCTGCTGCTTCTCTGCTCTGCCCGGAAACAGAGCAGAGCCGTCACTAAAATGTTCACTGGTGAGCAAGACTATGTGACCCTCAGAGTTGTGTTCTCCAGAACTGGACCCAAGAGGGGTTCTGGTAGGGAGCACAGTATGCGGGTGGAGGCCTCAGTGCTGCATAGGCCTTCTTAGCCTCTCACCGCCATACCTTAAGATCATACTTAAAATAAGGCGTGGTGTGTTTTAAAATCACTTACGTTGGCTTTTTCCACAAAATTCTTTCCCCGGGCTGAGAGGATAATTCAGTGGGTAAAGTGCTTGCCATGCAAACATGAGAACCCCCATCCATAAAAACAACAAAACCCAGCCCGGCATCATAACACCAGCTTTTAATCAGTGCTGAGGCGTCAGAGACAGTCAGGCCCTAGGGTCCACTGTCCTCCGAGCCTAGCCAATTGGGAGGAATGATCCCTGATGTTGTTCCTGGGCCTCCATATGCACATGTACACACATGAATGTGTACACATACAAGAACAGTCTTTCCCTACTTCCCACAGTAAGACCCAACTCAGTGATTAATTAGCTCTGCCATTTTTCAGTAGTTCTGGGCACTTTACAACTCATTAGTCATTAAATTGCTATCTCTTGGCTCCCGAAGTCCTTTGAGCTGTCTCGTGTGATCCTTTCATCCTGACATGGCTGAGTAGAGCACTTCATTCCATCTGAGGCCAGCCGTGTGCTATCAGGGTGAAAGCTTCCAGTGATTGGGACAGTAGCCAGTGTTGTGTGGCCGCTCCTGTGTGTGGGTGAAGGCAAAGCCCTGCTTTCTTCTCTGCCTCTTCAAGTCAGCTGGTAGCATCAGCTCATTTACGTTCTGTATTCACTATGAACATTTAGGTTTCATTTTTAAGTGTGCGTATATGTGTGAGTCTGTACGCTTGGGTTCCACGTCCCCTCTCACTGGAGCTCCTGGCAGCTGGGAGTGGCCCAGTGGAAATGCAGTGAGTCAAACTTGGGTCCGCAGCGAAAGCAGCACATGCTTTAACCCCTGAATGTCTCCAGCCCCAAGCTGTGTCCTCTGTTTGCACAAATGAGTCACTGCACTGTGTTCACAGTCGTGCTTACACCGGGGCCTCAGGCAGCTTGCCTGACTTCCTGGTTCCTGTCTGTACGGTGTGGTCCCATGAGCCTAGACAGGCCTTGAGGCCTGGTGAGGGCCTTGGACACGTTGTTCTTATTCTAGTCATTCCATTCTCGTGTGTTAATGAAAATCAGTGTTGACCTGGATTCTTTTGTTTCTTATAAGTCTGGGTCTTTAGCTTCAGTGCCACATGATCTTTGCTGTGAACAAGTTTGTTGGCTAGAGGCATTTGGGAAGATGGAACCTTAGTGGAGAACACGGTTAGCCTGTGGGCAAGCCTGTGGGGGCATTTTCTTGATCCGTGATTGATGTGGGAGGGCCCAGCCCTCTGCGGGCAGTGCCACTCTGGGCACGTGGTCTCAGGTTGTATAAAGAAAGCAGGATGAGAAAGCGAGGGCAGACCAACCAACTATGAGTAAGTAGTGTTGCTCATGGTCTCGCGAGTCAGCCCCTGCCTTCAGGTTTTTGCCCCGGGTTCCCTGGATGATGAAGTGCAAGCCTTAAGGTGAAAGAAACTTTTCCCTCTCAAGTTGCTTCTGGTCCTGGTGTTTCCTCAGAGCAGCAGAACTCCAAAGGAACACGGCAGGCTTCCTTTGTACCCTTCTTTCCTCCATTGTCTGGCATCCAGGTTGCATTGTAGTCTTACTGCGGGTTGGTCATCTTGAGTCCCAGATGCCCCAAAATCTAAAAGTTGTTTGAGTGAATCCAAGTAGAGTCCTTGGCAAGATTTTGTTTTGTGTGTTATTTAAAATATTACCTGAGCTTTCAAGCTGTGTGGATAATGTGTATGTGAGACAGATGGGTTTTGCACTTGGAAATGGTTTCTGTGTTGTGCATATTCAGATATTTCAAAGTCTGAAAAATTCCAATGGCTTCCCAGCCCAGGCATTTTTGATGAGCTACTCTACCTCAGCTGCCAGAGGCAAGGTAGGTGAACCTTTGTCCTCCAGCCTATTTGTACTTACTGCTTTAGGCAGTGTGCCCTTCGTGGACCTGGTTACTTTGCTATATTACAGTCTTTCATGCTTGCAGTGATAGCCATGGCTGCCTTGGCATGAGGGCTCCCGCTGCCTTTCCTTCAGCCAGGTTGCCTCATCTGCTTGACAGCCTTGCACATACCAGAATGTTCATCCCTTGCACTTCTTGCCGTCTTCCCTCTTAGGTCACACAAGCTATGTTTTCCATTCTTGCTGAATTGTGCCTTCCTTGTACATAATCACACACCCCCTCTGTCTGGTTTTATCTTCTTCATGGATCTAATACGACTTTAAATTTGTCTGGATTTCGTGTGTTTACTGATTATCCTCTCAACTAGGGTGTAGGCTCCATGAAAACGGTCCTGACTGTGTGAGCACCTGTTTGTAAGCCTGGGGGCAGTCCCCTGTCAGGGTACCAAGAGTGTTTGCACCCATTTGTAAGCAGAGACTCAAACACATTTGTTTAGTCAGGAGTGTCATGCCCACTGAAATATTTTACCAAAAATAGAAAAGTTATTTAGTGGGGCCTGGGAAGATGGTTCATCTGTCAAAGCACCTGCTCCAGAATCCACATAAAGAAGCTGGGTGTGATAGCCTCCCTCCTGAAGAGGCAGAGAAGAGCAGGCCTCTGGGCTCCCTGGGCAGGCAGACAAGCCTACATGGTGAGTTCCAGGCCAGTGCAAAACCCTGACTCAAAAGAGAGGCCATTTGGCTCCTATGGGCACTTTCCTAGCATGAGTGTGGTGCTGAGTTCCACCCCCAGTACCCCAATAAACAAATAAGATCATTTCCATGATATTTACCTTGTTGGTCAGTGGATGGGCTCAATTCTATATGTGTTAGTCCAGTTTCTCTTTTGCATGCTATAGTTCAGTCAGAGCTTTGCACATGCTGGCCCAACTTGCACTGCTGAGCTAAACTAAACCTTCTGCTCTTATTTTTGTTTTGTTTCTGCCACTAAGTCTTGTCCTGGCAGGAATGGACCTCACTGTGTGGATCTTGACCCTGTAACAGTCTTCCTGCCTCTGCCTCCATGGTGCTAGGATTGTTGGCACAAGCTGCCCACCCCATGTTGAGGATATCACTGTTACTAGTGGTACATAGAAATTTGTATTAAATCCATATCACTCTTTAGATTTGGGAAAGGTTTATGTTTCAAGTTGTAAATCTTTTGCACCCATCTGCATAGCATCAGCCCCATGTCCTTGGCCTTCTTGCTCCTCCCATCTCTGTCAGCATGGTTTTCTTTCTCAGTGCTACCAGGAAAGGAAACACTTCAGCATCACACAAAGCCCTGACGCTGACTCCATCACTCACTGGTCATGGTGGGTGACTCAAGCAGCCTTTCTGTGCTTGAACTTAACTCACTTTTAAGATAGGAAAGCCTCCCTCACAGTGCACACGAAAGGTGTGTGTGTGAATATTTACAGTCATGTAGCCCAGTGTTAACCCTTGCTCAGCATTCAGAGGCCCTGTGTTCAGTCCCCACTACTGCACACAGGGAGAGCTGACTCAATGCATTGTCCTTAGCCCACTTTGGGGGCATCAGTCCTGGCACTGTGGAGGCCTAGCCCAAATCTGTTTTTGTTATCTCAAGTTTTTATCAGGTATTTTAGTTAATTAGCTTAAATTGTAGCTATTTATGCATAATGGGTTGTATAATCTTTCACATAGGTGAGTCTATGTGCACATCACTTTGGAAACTTTAACACACTATTGTGTACCACTTTAGTAATGTTTTATTTGTTAGTCACAGGTCTAGAGTTTGCTCTGTAGCCCCAGCTGGCCTCCAGCTCACAATCCTGCTGCCTCAGCTTTCCAGTACTGCGATCACTGGCATGCACCACCTCACCAGGTGGGCTGCTTGTACCCTTAATGGTGTCAGTGACTTTGTAAAGCAACAAGGGAGTGAACACACAGGAAGAAGCTTTGGAGGCCAGTCATCTTGAATTGCTAGGATGTGTGGGGTGCCAGACGTTCCTAGGGGTGTGCTCAGCCTCTCTTCAGGTTGGGAAGGTTTGTTTTATGCAATTAAATTAAAATAATTAAATCTCCAATTGTCAGTAAACAGCCCAAACCAAGAAGATGCCACTGGCCAAATTATGCTTACAAAACAAAACTCTAACACTTTTAAAGTACAGCTGCTACTTGAAAGCAGAAAGTTTTTTTTTTTGTTTTTTTTTTTTTTTTGTTTTTTTTTAAGGGACACAGCATGAAGCACACACATGGCTTTATTAGGCAGTTGGGTGTTCACCTTTTGGAAGAAAAAGTAAGTGAATGCACACAAGGCAGAACTGGGGGAAGGGTGAGGCTGTGCTGTGAACAGGGGTGAGGCCAGACTCAGGGCAGACTCAGTTCTAAACCCTCCCGGAGGTGAGAGCCTCTTTCATAATTTATCTTCTGATTCAGCTATTGTGCATGCGTGTATGCGTGTGGTGTGTTCTTAGATCCCACTCTGAAAATGTAGCTTTGTGTATGTGTTATTTCATTTTGGTTTTGTTGGCAGATTGCACTTTTCAAAAATTCCCTTTGAGTATTTCAAGCTTGGGTTCAGATAGTTGTTGGCTTGTTTTTCAGTGATACCTTTTCCATCCTGTTGGTCAAGGTCACCTTTGACTTATCCACACTCACCAAGCCCCCTGTATGACCCACCTTTTGCTCATAATTCCCAGCCCAGCATGGATTGTTGTACCTGCTGCTGCTGCTGCTGCTGCTGTCGTCCAGCCGCCATGGTCCCTTCTAGAGTGTGTCTTTTCTCTAAGGGTTGCCTGCAGTCTTGCTTCGCTGTGCTCGTGATTGTGAGTGACTTAGGGATGACCATTCCTAACACACACCAGCCTTGATGAGCTTTTTCTTTCTTGGGACAAATAGACAAATAGACCTAACAAATCAGGTCTGTACGCTGGTGTTCCTCTAGAAGATGCTGTTATTGTCTGCTTTGAAGAATCTAGAGTAGCCACCGATAGTTTGCTTTTTAGCTTTGGTTGACTTTGAATGAGTGGCTTGGCAATTTGCATGTTAATTGGCTCCAGCTACTTCTTGAGAGTCTGAGATTTAATTATTTTAATTTGATATCATAAAGCAACATATGATAGAGTGAGTGGTATTCTGTCTGGATATAAACCACCTACATTAAATCTGATGCATGGTCAAGTGGGTGGGTGGAAATAGCTGGTACCTGTGTTAAAAAGAGCATCTTGTGAAAACAGGCCTATTTGTCTTTCACAAATTTGATGTTCAGAATGCCTTCCCGTGGTACTGGGTATGTCTGGGTATGTCTGTCTGGTTTCACTTAGTGCTTCTTGCAAAGGAGTTGAAATAGGCACCGAGCTGCAAGAACAGATAGTAGCCACATTTGTCGGTAGAAAAGTGAAGTCATTGCCTGGCAGTTTATGTGTTTTTACATGCAAAAGCCGCTTTGCAGCTCAGCAGGTGTTGGTCCACCGACCCTCTTATTAGCGTTCACCCAGGAGTCCGTTGATTTGCATCTGTTCTTTCTCCTCACACAAACACCCACCTCTGTACTTGTCTTCTGCAGGGTTCCGGAAGATCAGCTTGGACGACCTTCGGAAGGCCTACATCGTCAAGGATGTGCAGCAGTACATCCTCCACCGCCTGGATCAAGAGGAGGCCCTCCGGCAGCACCTCACCAAGGAGACGGCCGAGACCCTGAACCAGCTGCACATCAAGAGCAGCGGGTGCTTCCTGTATCTGGAGCGCGTGCTGGATGGAGTCGTGGAGAATTTCATCATGCTTCGCGAGATCCGCGACATCCCGGGAACGCTGAATGGTCTCTACCTCTGGCTATGCCAGAGACTTTTTGTCCGAAAACAGTTTGCCAAAGTTCAGCCCATTCTGAACGTGATCCTTGCGGCCTGCCGGCCCCTGACCATGACAGAATTGTACCATGCTGTGTGGACCAAAAATATGTCTCTAACCTTGGAGGACTTTCAGCGCAAGCTAGACGTCCTGTCCAAGCTCTTGGTGGATGGGTTGGGCGGCACCAAGATCCTGTTCCACCACAGCTTTGCCGAGTGGCTCCTGGATGTGAAGCACTGCACCCAGAAATACCTGTGTAACGCTGCGGAAGGGCACCGGATGCTGGCCATGAGCTACACCTGCCAGGCCCGGGACCTGACGCCCCAGGGAGCACAAGAATTCGCCTTGCACTTGATTAACTCGAACTTGCAGTTGGAGCCAGCCGAGCTGGCGCTGTGGATGATATGGAATGGCACCCCCGTCAAAGACTCTCTGTCCACCTTGATACCCAAGGAGCAAGAGGTGCTGCAGTTGCTGATCCGAGCCGGAGCTCACGTCAACAGCGAGGACGACCGCACCTCGTGCATCGTCCGGCAAGCCCTGGAGAGAGAGGACTCCATTCGAACATTACTGGACAGCGGGGCATCGGTCAACCAGTGTGACTCCAACGGCAGAACTCTGCTGGCCAATGCGGCTTACAGCGGCAGTCTGGATGTGGTGAACCTGCTTGTCTCCAGGGGGGCCGACTTGGAGATCGAAGACGCCCACGGACACACGCCCCTCACCCTGGCGGCCCGACAAGGGCACACAAAGGTGGTCAACTGCCTGATTGGGTGTGGAGCCAACGTTAACCATACGGATCAGGACGGTTGGACGGCTCTGAGGTCCGCTGCTTGGGGGGGCCACACCGAGGTTGTGTCTGCCCTGCTTTACGCTGGCGTAAAGGTAGACTGCGCGGACGCGGACAGCCGGACGGCGCTGCGTGCAGCGGCCTGGGGGGGCCACGAGGACATCGTCCTGAACCTGCTGCAGCACGGTGCCGAGGTCAACAAAGCCGACAATGAAGGGAGGACGGCGCTGATAGCCGCGGCCTACATGGGCCACAGAGAGATCGTCGAGCACCTGCTGGACCATGGTGCCGAGGTGAACCACGAGGACGTGGACGGCAGGACGGCCCTCTCCGTGGCCGCGCTGTGCGTGCCGGCCAGCAAGGGGCACGCGTCAGTCGTGAGCCTTCTGATTGACCGAGGGGCCGAGGTAGATCACTGTGACAAGGATGGCATGACACCCCTGCTGGTGGCGGCCTACGAAGGTCACGTGGACGTGGTGGACCTGCTTCTCGAGGGGGGAGCAGATGTAGATCACACGGACAACAACGGGCGGACCCCCCTGCTGGCCGCAGCTTCCATGGGGCATGCTTCGGTGGTCAACACGCTTCTGTTCTGGGGCGCAGCCGTGGACAGCATCGACAGCGAAGGCCGGACGGTCCTCAGCATCGCCTCGGCACAGGGGAACGTGGAGGTGGTGCGCACTCTCCTGGACAGAGGCTTGGACGAGAGCCACCGAGATGATGCTGGCTGGACGCCTCTGCACATGGCAGCTTTTGAGGGTCACAGGTTAATATGTGAAGCTCTCATCGAACAAGGTGCTAGAACGAATGAGATTGACAACGACGGGCGCATCCCTTTCATTTTGGCCGCCCAGGAGGGCCACTATGATTGTGTCCAGATCCTCCTAGAGAACAAATCCAACATCGATCAGAGAGGCTATGACGGGAGAAATGCCTTGCGCGTTGCTGCCCTGGAAGGGCACCGGGACATCGTGGAATTACTCTTCAGCCACGGGGCCGATGTGAACTACAAAGACGCCGATGGGCGGCCCACGCTTTACATCCTGGCGCTAGAGAACCAACTTACAATGGCCGAGTATTTTTTGGAAAACGGTGCGAACGTGGAGGCCTGCGATGCAGAGGGACGGACGGCTCTGCACGTCTCCTGCTGGCAGGGCCACGTGGAGATGGTGCGGGTGCTTATCGCCTGCCACGCCGACGTCAACGCGGTGGACAACGAGAAGCGCTCGGCCTTGCAGTCTGCCGCCTGGCAGGGCCACGTCAAAGTGGTCCAGCTTCTGATAGAGCACGGCGCCGTGGTGGACCACACGTGCAACCAAGGCGCCACGGCCCTCTGCATCGCGGCCCAGGAGGGACATGTGGATGTGGTGCAGGTTTTGCTAGAGCACGGCGCCGACCCCAACCACGCCGACCAGTTTGGACGTACTGCCATGAGGGTGGCAGCCAAAAACGGGCATTCTCAGATCATTAAGCTGTTAGAAAAATATGGTGCTTCCAGTCTGAATGGCTGCTCCCCCTCCCCTGTCCACACGATGGAGCAGAAGCCTCCACAGTCGGCACCCTCCAAGATGCAGTCTCTGACCATCAGGTCCAACAGCTCTGGTGGCACTGGCGGAGGGGACGCGCAGCCTTCCCTCCGGGGCCTGCCCAATGGGCCGGCTCATGCGTTCAGCTCTCCGTCAGAGTCTCCAGACTCGACTGTGGATCGGCAAAAGTCGTCCCTGTCCAACAATTCCCTGAAGAGCTCAAAAAATTCGTCTCTGAGAACGACTTCCTCCACAGCCACGGCTCAAACGGTGCCCATTGACAGTTTCCACAGCCTGTCATTCACGGAGCAGATCCAGCAGCACTCGCTGCCTCGCAGTAGGAGCAGGCAGTCAGTCGTGTCCCCCTCCTCCACAACCCAGTCCCTAGGACACAGCCATAATTCTCCCAGTAGTGAGTTTGAATGGAGCCAAGTGAAGCCAAGTCTGAAGTCAACAAAATCAAATAAAGGGGGCAAATCAGAGAACTCCAGCAAGTCTGGGTCAGCTGGGAAGAAAGCAAAACAAAATAATTCCTCACAGCCAAAGGTTCTAGAATACGAAATGACTCAGTTTGACAGAAGAGGACCTGTCGCTAAGCCTGGGAGTAGCCCACCTAAGCAGACGCCGCCGGCAGAATCTCAGTGTAAGACCGTGGTCCCTTTACCTCAGGACAGCAACCGTGCCCAGCAACAGCTTCTCCTCCACCAGCAGAGCGGTGAGCAGAAGAGGAGGAATGGCATAATGACGAACCCCAATTACCATCTGCAGAGCAACCAGGTGTTCCTGGGCAGGGTCTCCGTCCCTCGCACAGTGCAGGAGCGAGGGCATCAGGAGGTGCTGGAGGGGTTCCCTCCCTCAGAGACAGAGCTGAACCTTAAACAAGCCCTGAAGCTCCAGATTGAGGGCTCTGACCCCAGCTTCAACTACAAGAAGGAAACACCCTTGTGAGAGGTAAGAGAGCAGTGGAAAGCATAAAGGAATGGGAGTGTCATTCCTCTTCCTTAAAACGCCCTTTCCCTGGTGCTCTCAAGGCCCCTCAGGCACCCTCCCTCGGTGTGTCCTCGGGGGTCTCATCCCAGCCAGTCTGTTCAGCGTGAGTTCTCCAGACTCTAGTACCTATCCAAAGCATTTATGTGATACAGGACTGATGGGTCCATATACGGATGCACAAATTGGAGATAGGATAGCTCATAGTCAATAGCCAGTAGATAATTGATAGATACGCTCGTACACATAATAGACATAGAGAATTGATAGGTCGGTAGTAGATGCATAGGCACGTGGTTGATGAGAGGATAATAGGTAATAGAGACAGACACTGGGTAACAGATGATAAACAGGAGAAGACACATACACAATACATACTTAATCTGTTTACTCTTTATCTCCCCTCCCTTTTCCTCCTCAATGTTAGACCAAAGGGGTGTGTTTGTATTTGATGCTGGATTCTTGTACTTGGAATACTATTGGAACCCGTGGCAGACTGTCAGTAAAAATGTATTGGGTAACTGGATGAACAGATGAACATATCATGAATTAATCCTAGATTAAGATTTTTTTTCCTGTATTATCATCTCCTATCAGGAGATTTCTGATGGAAAACAGGGCTGTTTTCTAAGTATTCATTGTTTGATTTTGAAGCACCGGGTTGCACCTAGTAGATAGTTGGTAAATGTTAATTTCATTGTTTCACCCAGAGACAGAGCATGGATTTAAATCAGTAATCTGGTTTTATTATGATAACTCTTGTAAAAATCTAGTAGTGTTGGCATGTAGTATGAACAGATGTGGACCAAGATGAAAGGTATGGGTTTATCATATTTACTTATTTATGTATTTAGGGGCAAGATATGGATAGCATATATTATGTTCATATCAGTAGAATTTTATATTAAAAATGTTTTATCATCTTCTCACAGGAGGCCTCGCTGTACAGGTAAAAGTGAGTGGCTCCTCTGTACACTCTGTGTGCTCCCCCAGAGGCATTTCTCATGTTCTAAATAAACTGAAAATTTCCTTGAGCATCATGTCTGATGTCCAGTGACTGTAATGAGCACATGGCTTCTGGGGATGGTTTTTGGTGATACAGTTTATGAATTTGATAGATGATGCATTACATCATCTGCTAATACTAAGCACCTATCTATAAGGAGGAATGGATGGCCAGCCCGAGCTCACTGAAAAATACTTCTCCAAATACTTGGTTTTGGTGGTGCAACACAACCCCTCCCCCCCAACTCATAATACTACCTCCTGTGAAAACAAAGGATTACATCCCTGTCAAATAGTAAAAATGTGATGTGAGGTAAATATTTGGTAGAATAATGAATTTCTGATGTGTATATATTGAAATTGTTCTTTACGTACTTAAATGCATAAATAGTAAGTGGTTTATACGTATTCTTTTATAAGACCGTAAAACTGTGCCATTGTAAGAAAAGTGTAGAAATAAATGAATTCCCTTTCATTTTATTTTTTCCAGTTTCCGCTTGTGTGAAACAGGAGGCATTAGGTCAGAATGGCCATTCAGCTGCCAGATGGAAGCAAGACACCTGAGGACATGCTGCCAAGACTGTGACTCCCACAGTACTGTTTCCTGACTTCCTGTCATGTGCCTACCCAGTAAGGCTGCCTGTCTCAGCATAACCCGTGCTGAAGCAGTCTCCACCACACCTAATAAATGCAGATGTAAACAGCAGTTCCTCGATACAACCAAACCCAGTTTTGAGTATTTTCCCATTTGCTAAACGTGCATGTGCCACGGTCAGGTGTCTCCGCAAAGGCGGTGTTCTGTATTTATTGTTTTCTGCGTTGTGGTGTGTACTCGGTCCCATCGATTGTCTGGTGTGCCTGGTTCTTGTGTATTTAATAGATGTTAGTCAATAAAGCAATTCTTGCAAGTGTTTTCTGTCCGCTAACCTTCAGCATTAGACAAAAACAAGTTTCTGTGTTAAGGCCACGTGGAGGTGAAAAAAATGACTTTGTGACTCAATTCTGGTGGTGTAGCAAGTCACTGTGGGTAGTTTAAGTCTCCATTTTCCAGCCAAGTACCGTTTGTGTCAGGCTGAATGTGACAGAGCAGGCGAATGCCAGTCACTCCAACTGCAGTCAAAAGAGCTCTGTGAATTCAACACGGGCTCTGAGCCACCTTCCAGCTGCCTGTCATCCCACCTGCAAGTAGACTACCACCGCTCCTGCTCCCGAAGCTTGGACTTTCTCAGGGACAGAGCTGTTAGTGCCTGTGGGGCACGTGTGCAGACAGGCTCCAGGTCCAGCTAAGGATGAAGCTCTGATCCCTGAATCATTCACCGGCTGCCTTCACCTCCTCCAGCCAAATGAAATGTAATCTATCGTTGTAATTGAATGCTCAGTGCTCTGAGCTGTTTCCACTTGCCAATTACTGCATGATCAAATTAGCCCCAGTCAGAACCAATTGGGAACATTTGAATGGCTTGGTGGGATGGATGTTCTTGAATGTATGCTGTGCTGTCCATCACAAGTGACACCGCTAACCATTAGTCACAGCACATATCTTCTGTTACTTGCTAGAAGTGATGGGCTTGCACTTCTCTGGCCACATTCTCTTTCCTGTTTTCTTCTTTGCACAATTGCACAGAGGGTGGCTGGATGCCGTGGTTAAGGGAGGCATCTGCACTAGGGAACTCGGAGCAGCTTAGATGCATTGCACAAATGTTTGACAGGATGATTCAGAAGCCAAGGATGGTTTGATCCTTGAGCGAGTCCCGTCCATCTCCCCAGCCTAGGAGATTCTGTATACTCCACGTGCTGTTGCTAAGGGGAAATGGGGAAAGAGAATTTGGAAATTGAGCACAAAACCATTGCTACTACTGACAACTTTGGAATGTTTTAATGAGAGGCCAGTAATGGTCATGGTGCTCGAAGGGCGCCAGTAGTGTTGTTTATGGAAGTGCAGATGTATAATTGCTGTGATGAGTGTTTCTCACGTGAGTCTGTGTGTAAGCCTTTCCTTGCTTTCTGTCTTTCCCATGTCAGCCAAGCTCATTTCCTGTGTGTCATCCATCAGTCATAACCAGGATGAGGGAGAGCTGATGAATTCACTCACAGTTAAGGTGACGACGTGGTTGATACCGACAAGTCAAATGTGAATGGTTCAAGGATTGAATTCTTGTCCCTATGGGACGTTGATTAATGACATTGAACAGGACTCTTGGAAGGCAGCCTTAAAAGTTTCTGAATCTGTTGAGAAGTATGGGGTCACAGCCTGTTACTAGAACCAGCATCACTCCATCTCTCACACACACTGACCATAGAAGAGGAACCTCTGACTTCTTATTAGGTGGATGTTTTTTTAAGGAAGAGACTCTGAAAGCTGCCATTTTTTTTTCTCTTCACCTTGAATTACTGAAATCATATTTATTTAATTTTATTGCTTTTACAAAGTTGCACCTTGTGACCAAAGGGCAAAGACAACTTGGTGCATTAGGGATTTGTGTTTTCCACCTGTTTTTGTTTCCATCTTTATACACCTGGAAACAGTTGCTAGGAGGAGAGTCTTGAAGAAATCAGATTCTCATAAATACTCCTTGGGGTGTTTTTGTGTTTGTTTCTTGTTTTTGTTTTTATAATCAGTTATGATTAGAGTAGAACAAAAATGGCTTCTGGTGAAGACCAGGCTGACCAAGGTGCTGTAGCCAGCCCGCTGTGCTCGTTCATTTTGGGATGGGGGAGGGGAGGGTTAGTACCATAACTGGGAAAAACAATGACTTCTGCTCTACTACGAAGATAAGAAACGGTCCCAAAAATTAAAAAAAAAAACAAACTATTTTTTAAATTCAAATGTCTAAATTTTGTAAGTCGACTGTTTAGGCTGTCATGTGTGTATAACATTTTTGTGGCGTTTCTTCACACCCCTTCCCAAAGGTCAGGTGAAACATCAGAGAAGTAAACATCTGAAGGAAACATCAGGGAAGCTTGGGGCCCAAGAAGACCAGAAGTCAGAGCCCTGTGGTGTACAGCAAATACCTTTTGTTCTGTTCTCCCCCACCCACCCCTACCTGATTCCTCAACAAAGCAAACAGCCCTTACTTCAGAGTCAGGAGCAGGTCATCATGCTGTTTGGCTAGGCGACTGTTCGTTTTGCTTAATGTCCCCCCATCAACACTTTCCATAAATGTAGTCGCAGACAGATGCTTTCTTTTGTTCTCTCTGTGTGGGGTGTGTAAATAACCTAAAGTGTACATTGAATTTCACAGTGTAAAGTATTATTTTATTCCCTGTATTATATTACGCGAAAACATCCTGATGTACATGAAGTGCATAATAAATCTATTTGCTTTACAGAAAATGCCTTGGTTTGCTCTTCTCCCTCAAGTAGTAGCACGTGCAGGGTGTCCTTACAGTAAGAATCTGTTACACGTTTATGCTCTTAAAAAACATGAGGGGGGGGAATGAGATATAGCCCTTCCCAAAGGAAGCTAGGAGACCAAGATTTAGCCTTTGTCTCTCGCGAAGCCTTGATAGGTGTTGGCTTTTCTGTTTCTGCTCCCTCTCCTCTGACAGAACACCTGCTGTATGTCACTGTCGGCTCTTCCCTGTGACCAGGTGAGCTGTGTACACAGGGGCCCCTTGGTTTTACTACAGTCTTATCCTGGATTTTTTTTTTTAATTCTCTGGAAGAATGGATTGTTTTCTGAGTAAAGGCTGTGTGTTGCTTCTTTGGTGAGCCTGAGTGCCTTCCCTGGACACTTTTCCCCAGAAGAACCCATCACTGATCAGAATGTCAAACCCATGCATATGTGTCTATTCCATTCCGCCCGTGCATGCGTGTATAAATTCCGTTCCTCCCGTGTGTATGTGTATGTTCTGTTTTTCCCATGCATGTGTGTATATATTCTATTCCTCCTGAGTGTATATGTCTATTCTGTTCCTCCCATGCTTATATGTAAATTACATTCCTCCCAAGGAAGGTTTCTAAAAAAGCCAACAGTTGTTTTTCCTTCTTGACTCTATAATGTAGTTCCTAGAACTCAATTTCCCCAATCATTCACTTGCTCATATTTTTATACACTTGATAGGTTAATAAAAAAAAAACTTATTCTAAGCAATTTTACTGTAGGAGGTATTTGAGCAGAAATAAGTGATAATGGAATTTTAAGAACACTTCCTTGCCAAGGAGAGTTCAGCTGGTGGGCAGAAGACACAGGGCGGGGAATCTGCAGGGGCTTGGTCGGGTCGGTAGATTGAAAGATGCCAGCTTAAACAAAAAAGAGTCACACTGCTGCATTTCTGGGAAATTTTCATCATCTTGCCACGTATGTACTAAAGTTACTGTGAAGACGCACTATCTGGCTGCCAGTGTCTGCGTTACAGTATGAATAAAACCAGTGTTAGAATAAGACAATTTGGGATTGCGAAGAGCCCACACAGAGACCCACAGCCAGACATTAGGGGAACCAGAGGGGTCAGGAGAACACAGCCCACTGAATCAACTATGCATAGGGACTCACAGAAACTGACGATTGAAAAGCCTGCGTGGGTCTGTGCTATTATCCATTAGAGTGACCACTTCCTCGCTGTGTTTTAATCTACAGCTTTTAAGCAGAATCCTTTGTTGGGAGTTGCCACCACCCATGGCTCCTCAAGTTTTCATAGGCTGTTGAGAGTCCTCACGTCTTCTTCCTGAAGCTTGCCTTAGTGTCTATTGGTGTGCACTTCCATAAGAACCTTAGGGAGGCTTAAGCTTTGGTTGTTAAAATTCTTGTTTTAGGGCTCACAGGATGGTTCAAAGACTATAGCTACTTACCACCAAACCTGAGGTCAATCTCTGGAACCCACATGGCAGAAGGAGGGATGGCTCTTGCAGTGGTCATGACTTCCATAAACACACACACACACACACACACACACACACAGCGAGAAAGAGAGAGAAGAGAGGCAGATATAAATGTAACATCAAAAAAAAAATCTGGTTTTGTTTTAGATATTGACTCCATGGGCAAGCTTTTGTTAACTGTGTTCATATATTTTAGTCTTTTAATTTCCTTCACTATTTAGATCTTTACGCAGAGTGATGTGTCATAGTTTTCGCACAAAGCTTTGGACAATGATTAGCAGGACTCCCTAGTCCTTTGTTAGTTATTGATATTGTTATAAATGACATTTTAAATTTTATTTTTCCTGTTAGCATACAGAAATACAGTTTTCTTCTGTACAAGTCTTGTTAAATGTATTTTAAAGCAAGATCTACCAGTATTCACTCTTAAGTATAGTTGAATGAATTTTGATTTTTTTTTTTTTTTTAAGATGGGCTCATGTAGCCCAAGCTAGCTTTAAGGTCACTTCGCAGCAGAGAATAGTAACCTGGATCCCCCTGCTTCAGACTCAAAATGCTGGGATTCTAAGTATATGCCACCATGCCCAGCAAACCCAGGGCACTTTGATGACTCTGATAAGGTCACTAGCATAATTCCACTGAATATTTTCCAAACCTCCCAAGGCTCATTACATTCACCCGGTCACTTTCCTCCCCTCGACCCTACTTCTAACAACCACTAATTATATTTCTTAATAGTTTAGCCTTTCTAGGCTTGCCATGGGTGAAATCATGATACAAGTGCGTTGTACCTGGTTCTTCTGTTTGTATTCTGTTTGGTTTGGATTGTTTTGGTTTTGAGGCACTCTTGCTATGCATCCTAAAACAGCATGGTTCACTGTAGACCAGACTGGCCTCAGACTACAAGCTAGCAATCTGTCTGCCTCATCCTGGTGATTAAGATTCACCGTATAGCAGGCAGGGGTCCTGTATGGAATTCTCAAAAATTTTATGGGTACAGTGAAAATAATTATATCTACCCCTCCAGCTCCTCCTATGACTCCCCAGGGTGGCCCCCTACAACTTCATGTCTTCTTCTGAAAACCTACT